TTCACTGAGTTTTAAATCTTTCGCTTTGTTTAATGAGCCTATATATAAATAATGTAGGTAGACGTCTCTGGGCCACAGCAATCACTTACTATAAGGTGGACTGTGTGCTCGTTTAAAAAAAAATTAAGTACTCAAAAGAAGAATATTAAGACGTGACTATGGGTGCTTCAAAGCACCCAAAACGTCGGGAATTAAAAACAATTAAAATTAAACGCAATAGTTTTATTCTATTATGATATATTTTTCTGTAATGATTTAGGTATATTTTAAGTTTTTTTTAATTGATTTTTTTCACCTCCTTGATTTTTTTACTGATTTCTTTTTCAGAACAAAACAGGCACGTCACAAAAAACCTTAGCGGTTTGCAACTGATCTACACAGACTTTGACGAATGGATATGCAAATTCTACGAATACATTAATTCAAGGTATTTTTATGTGTTAAATAATAATTTAATAAAAAATGATAAATATCTAAGATAATCAACACCGTAAGGCGTAATAAAACCTGCTACCCTTTATTACTTATAACAACAACAAAAAAAAAACAATACACGACACTGTATCAACGCATAAATCAGAGAGGTATAGCAATATTTTTTAAGACTTTATAATTAAAAAAAAATTATAGAATGAGGGTGACAAACAAGCACACAGCCCACTTGATGGTAAGTGGTTGCTGTGGCCCATATACATTTAGATCTATTCTCGATTATGAACAAAAATACAGATGCGTTGTCACCCGTGAGGAGTAAGATGGAATGCTCCTTTTCCAGTAAAAAGGGTATCCGGTTCTCTATACTCACCATGTGATACAGCAGCAGTAAGCTGCTATTTCCGCTGGTATTCTGTGAGAGCGTAGTCCTTCCCCAGTCGAGCCGACCCATTCGTGCTACAAGTATACCACTAACATAGCTGCATCGTGGCTCTTACCACGTAAAATGTTAAGATATTAAAATATGGCCACAAATAATAATATAAGGGAAATTAAAGAAATCATAACAAAATTAATTATAGTAAAATTTAATCTAGTAATTTATATCCCAAAGCTGGACACAGAGCCTATTTTAAGAGGTTTTTTGACATCGGTTGCGCTCCTCGAATACGTGTTTATTTATTATCATACGTGGTAGAGCCAAGCTCATACGTGGTAGAGCCAAGCTCATACGTGGTAGAGCCCAGCTCATACGTGGTAGAGCCAAGCTGCAGCTATATTATATATAGCTATAGTTGTAGCACGAATGGGTCGGCTCGTCCGGGGAAGGACCACGCTCTCATAGAATACTAACGTAAAATAGCAGCTGAAAACTGCTGTGTTTCGTATGGTGAGTCTAGAGAACCGGAGACCCTTTTACTGAAAAAGAGGCATTCCATCTTAGTCATCAAGGGTGACTACGCATCTGCATTTTGATTCGCAAACGAGGATAGATGTAGCAAAAGAATAACATAATTTGCACATAATGGCTTCCCAAGTCTAAGCGTGTTAAAACAATATGTAGTTAAAATACAAATATGTAGATTTTCCTTTATTTGAACAAGGTTAATAATTTTACCCTTTCGAGTGGACTAAGTTGTCTCACAAGTTTGAGGTACTCGTAGCAACGAGAATGTGATCTCAATAGTTACTTTGAAAACTTCACCCCTTTTTATCCACCCTTATATTTTTTATATTAAAAATAAAGTTTGTAGACATCTCCTGAAGTTACATATAACCTATTATATATAAGAATAATCATTAAAATTGGTTCCGCCGTTTCCGAGAAATCAGTGAACAAACTAAAATAAATATACACGTCAATTATACAACCTTCTCGCATATAATTTTTTTTAATTTTAATTAATCACTATTTTAAAATTAATTGCCATCTTATATTTTATATTTTAATGCATTATATTATTATAGGACATAAAGCACAGGTAGTGTTAAATATTAAGAGACAATTAATACTAAGCAATTAATACGTTAACATCTAAGTAAGGGTGTTACCACACCAATCAATCGACGATCGATCGTTTGGTATGGTAACACACTAATATGTGACACTTAAAATAACAATGAATATTTTAACTTCGAATTTGTTTGGCATGGATTCCTTACGAGGTTTTCTTTCACTCCCTAGCACGTATATCATCACTTTCAGTGGCACCAGCGGGAAATATTTCGGGCTACTTTTGAAATATTTATTGAAATATAATATTTCTATATTATATTTTATATCATTGACCCATGGAGACAGACCTCACTCAGCATAATATATTCGAGACTAGTTACTTATAAGTAATGACAACAATAATGATGACAGCCCTTCACAATTCCACTGTTAAACATAGGCCTCCCCCGAGGAATACCACAAAGCACGGTCCTGAGCCACCTGTATCCATCGACTTCCTGGGCAGCCCTACACTTCGCCTACCGGTACGAAGCTGCACCTCGAGAAACTTTCTTCCCCATCGGTTGTCAGTTCTTCAAGCTATATGGCAGGCCCACAGATCATAGAAGCAACTGTTGTTTCTATGATCTGTGGGCCGGCCCATTGCCACTTCAGCTTACTAATGCGTTAGGCTATGTCGGTTACTCTGATTTTACTGCGGATATCCTCATTTCTAAGTTTATCACGCAGAGATACACCGAGTATAGCCCTCTCCATAGCTTGATGAGCGACCTTGAGCTTCTCATATGGCCAGCAGTGAAGGACCACGTCTCAAATCCATAATTTTTATGTTTATAATAGCCAATCCATTCCAACTGGATTAATATTCAATGTTTTTTTTCTCTTTCAGTTCTTCGAATTTCTTCAACAAAACCGAAATATCTGTCGAACAATGTGGGCTGAAGATTAAAGGGAAAGAAACTGAAAAACGTAATAATTCTAGAGATCAAATTTTGGGTGTATTATCGTTGCAAGATATTTTTGTTGATGGTATTTTATTAAGGAATAGGATAAATTATACAACTGATCAACAAAACAACCTTTTTCGATTGTTTAGAGTTAAGGAGGACTATAACGAGATCTGTGATTATGTATTATTCAAGTTTGTAAATAGTAGAAATAAGACTTCTTGTGAATATATTAAATGTAAATTGTGAAATATTTGTTTTTGTTCCTTTTTATCAGAAAAAACATTACCGCCACTAGAAGATTCTCCTGTATCGTGAAGGCGTATGATAAAAAAAATTGCATGTGGATCGAACTCGCGCACTGTAGATGCTGTAGAGACACTTGCCCAATCACTGGGCTGAAAACGTACTTAGTGATTTTAGATATAGGTACTCTCGACACTATTGAACATCTCGATCAAAGAGTTTCAAATTACTACTTTTAATCTCTTGGATAAAGTATCATTTCAATCCATAGAGCAACACGGGCTACCGGCGGACTGCAGGGGCCACACGTGTAATAAAAATAGCTGCAGCCACACTACTTACAATGTCCTACAAAAATGCCGGATTGTTTAGTTTTTACTGCAAAAAAGAGATCAACTACGTCTAATTTACACAAAGATGGCGTTACTTTCACATATAATTCTTTAGAATTTTTAGAAGAATACATGTTAGTTGTTTAGTTAGTAAACTTTTTTTTATAGAATAAGGGTGACAAACGAGCACATAGCCACATGATAAGTGGATGCTGAGGCCCATAGACATCTACATTTATCCTCAATTAAGAATCAAAATGCAGATGCGTTGTCACCCCTGAGGACTGAGATGGAATGCCTCGTTTCCAGTAAAAAGGGTCTCCGGTTCTCTACACTCACCATACGAAACACACGCTGGTATTCTGTAAGAGCGTGGTCCCACCCCGGTCGAGTCGACCTATTCGTGCTGGAACCACAACATTAGCTACCAGCATGGCTCTACCACGAAAAAAAATTACAACAATAACGGTCGTGTTGTTTTGGATTTGTTTAGCAACACTATAATAATACTAATGTCCTCCAGACCGAATTTCGGCCACGGCGGCCAGTCTCAACGAAGACTAGCCATCGGTGCAGGACAGGATTATAGTGCACAAGTGTATGCGCAAGCACAGGTGCACTCTCTATTCCCTCACTCTCATAGCCCGATGGGACGGTAAACTGACACGACCGGAGAAAGATCAGACGCAGGACCAACGGCTTTACGTGCTTTCCGAAGCACGGGGGTGAAACACCGCCATCTTCCTGACTCCGGGCAGCTACTGAGAATTTCTTGATGGAAAAACTCAATAACTGATTTCTTGGCCCAACCCGGGACCTGATCAGCAGTCGCACTACTACAACGAGGCAGAGCAACACTATATAATATGCAGATCAGTCGAGTGATTGATCCGAGTCTGTATCCAAGTTGTCGTTGCCACCGAGCGATACTGCTATGTTGTATCTATGTGTGTGTGTTGATGAAATTGTTAGTTTAGTTTTAATTATTATGTATGTTTTTTTTACTAACCTCAAGTGATTTTATTCGCCTTGAGAACTTAAGAAATCGCCGTCATTGACTGTTTGCTGGGTTAAACTGTCGTCATATCTCATAAAAACTTCACAATGTGACGCATAGATAATATGCTTTTATTTGTCACTGGCAAAAGCACAACAGTACGAATCCACGACCAAAGAAAAAAATCTGTTTTGTTTTGACTTGACAACTTGACATTTCATTTGATTTTGATTATTATTGAATCGATATTGCACTTCATAAATACCTTCTTATTAATTTGTGCACTAATAATTATTATTATCAATAGGCTTAGTGCACTTAGTGCTTAGATTATATAATATATAATCGAAGACTTAGTGCTATAAATTCTATGTGGTATAATTCTCATATCCAAGCAATTAGTAATAAACTATGACAATAAATTAAAGTAATTGGTAATAAAACATGGTTTTAAAGTTTTTTATATCTTCAGTCTAATAGGATTGAAGAATACTCGTAACTAAACATTTTTTAGTTCTATATTTTTAGCTATATTATACAAAATTGTAAACTAGTTCATACCATAATATTTCTTAGCCCTGCATAAAATGAAAATTCTTAAAGAGTGGTTTATAAGAGCTCCTTGGGGAAAAGTTGCATGTAAGTATGTTTCTATATTTTTGTGTCATACTAAATATGTTTACAAACCCATTCATACCTGTTTTGGCATCAATTATATAACATGTGTTATGTCTTGTTGATTGATCTATAATCATGTGTCTAATGGTGGTGGCCAAAGTGTATCATTTTTGCGATTGGAACATTTGCATCTCGATCACTGAAATGTTCCGTAACACTGATATGTTTCATTTGACTCATTTGGATCATCAATTCAAAAGATATAAAATGTTCTGAATATATTAAGTTGCAACATGCATGTTTATTACTGACTGAGTCAGTGAAATGTTATGTGACAACAATGCTGAATAATATAAGTCTTTAGGTTATTTATTGTGGACCGTAATAAGATTATATATAAAATCGATCCTCCTTCATACTTTAACAAAAATGTCATTATGCCAATTCATTATTTACAAGAATGTCCATTTACATAAAACAACAATGTCTATGTACACAGAATTCTCTCGTAAAGTCTCATAACTCTAACTTTATGATGAAAAGGAAGAAAGTAAGTCACAATAATCACTACGCAAAGAAATCCTAACCAGAAGTCAGCATGTTTTTGTAAACAGGCGCTAAGGAACATAAACAATATGTAAAATGACAACTTGTTAATGCAAACATTACATAGAAAAGCGACCGTATAGTAATTGAAACATAAGCGCTTTAGTGGTAATTTTTATGTGCATGAATAACGACAGTGAAAATCTGTACGAGTTTAGTGATACACTTCTTATTTGTTATCTCTATCTGACTTGTATGGATTATAATTATTTCGCCTGCTCACTGGCCACTTGCGAGTCAATAGTTAAGTTAATCAATGTCTCTATGAAGTTTCTGAAGTTGCTATGGCTTTTGAGAAACATTTTACTGATGTTGCTTTTTTGACAACAAAATCATTAAATTCTTCTCTTACTGTCGCCGAATCATTGCTCAAACAAAATGTAAAGGCTTGTTCAAATACTTTTAAATTCCATAGAGTACTGCCAAAAGATATCGTTAAATATTTTAAAACTATTGATGTTAAGAAAACGGCAGACTTATGGGGGATTTTCGTTAAAGTTATTTTATCTATAATAGATACATTAGCACCTTATCTAGCCACTATATTTAATATAAGCCTGGAATCTGGTGTGTTTCCTGATTTAATGAAACATAGTAAAGTCATTCCTATATTTAAATCTGGTAGTACATTAGACCCCGCCAATTTTAAACCAATTTCTGTACTACCAACATTAAGTAAAATTTTTGAAAAAATTATTTTAGATCAGATGTTAATAAGTTTCTTTAATATTAATAAATTGCTACAAAAAATCAATTCAGTTTTACAAAGGGTCGCTCGACAACTGACGCTGGAGATGAGCTTATTAAACATATTTTTTGTGCATGGGAGAATTCAGAGGATGCTTTGGGTATATTTTGTGACCTTTCTACGGCCTTCGACTGTGTTCACCATGAGACATTAATCAAGAAGCTAGAGTACTATGGTGTCAAGAACACAGCACTTAAACTTATTATTTCATATTTAAGTAATAGAAAGCAGAAGGTTATTATCAATGGTAAATGTCTTCCGGGTCACCTGTGCTAATGGGTGTCCCCCAGGGCTCGATTCTTGGCCCATTTCTGTTTCTGGTGTATATTAATGACTTACCTCACCTTGTAGGGCATAGTCATGATATAGTATTATTTGCTGATGATACTTCCTTGATTTTTAAACTTAAACGTCAATCATTTAAATGTGACGAAGTGAATAATGCTATATCAAAATTAGTGCATTGGTTTAACGTTAATAATCTGCGTTTGAACAGAAATAAAACAAATTGTGTTAAATTTACAACAACAAATGTTAAAAATCTGAATACCAATGTGTTTTTAAATGGGGAGGAATTGAGCCCTGTTGTATGCACCACTGTTTTTCTTGGCATCACTCTCGACGCAAAGCTCGATCAAAGGCCCCCATATATCCAAATTAGCAAGCAGACTAAGTTCTGCAGCCTATGCTGTAAAAAAGATTAGAGGTCTCACTAGTGTCGAGACAGCTAGATTAGTTTATTTCAGTTATTTCCCATATAATGGGATTTTATATTCCCATATAAAATCCCATAAGACATTATGCTATGGGAAAATGCGGCTGATTCAGAAACTATTTTTGTTTTACAGAAGAGGGCCATTAGAGCTATTTACAATCTAAAACCGAGAGTCTCTTAGAGATAAATTTAAAGAAATAAATATATTAACTTTGGCCTCTCAGTGTATTTACGAAAATTTAATGTATGTTCACAAAAACAATTTTAGTAAAAAAAGTGATATCCATTCTGTAAATACTAGGAACAAACACAAGCTTAGTGATGCCAGTTTCTCGACTCCACAGAGTCAGTAATTCATTCTTGGGGCAATGTATACACTATTACAACAAGGTCCCGGAAAGTGTACAGATTCTCTCTATTACCAAGTTTAAATGTTTTATTAAGCTGAAACTTTTTTTTTTTTTTTTTTATAGGAGAGGGGGCAAACGAGCATGCGGCTCACCTGATGGTAAGTGACTACCGCCGCCCATGAACAACCGCAACACCAGGGGAATTGCAGATGCGTTGCCGGCCTTTTAAAAAGGAGTAGGCTCTTTTCTTGAAGGTCCCTAAGTCGTATCGGTCCGGAAAAATCGCTGGTGGTAAACTATTCCACAAGGAAGTTGTGCGAGGAAGAAAACATCTTCTAAATCGCACAGTGGTGGACCGCCAATCATCCAGATGGTGTGGATGGTATCGGGAGTTCTGCCGCGATGTGCGTTCGTGAAATTTGGCGGCTGGGATTAATCCGAACAATTCCTCAGAGCACTCCCCATGGTAAATGCGAAAGAAAATGCTAAGAGATGCAACATCTCTTCGCAGTGCCAATGAGTCGAGCCGATCGGAAAGGACTCGGTCGTCGACGATTCGAGCCGCTCTGCGCTGGATGCGGTCAAGTGGAAGAAGCTGGCACTGGGGAGCCCCAGCCCAGAGATGGGAACAGTATTCCATGTGAGGCCGAACCTGCGCCTTGTAAAGTTGCAGGCGTTGAGCCGGCATGAAATACTGTCCCGCTCTGCTGAGCACGCCAAGCTTTTTAGAGGCCAATTTGGCCTTCTCTTCCAAGTGACCACGAAACTGCACGCTACTCGATATGTCGACGCCGAGGATTCCGATACTGGCTGAGGCAACAAGGGGAGTACCTTGAAACTGAGGAGATACGACAAAGGGGTTCTTTTTAGCGGTAAACGCGCAAACTTGTGTCTTCTGAGGATTAAACTGGACTAGATTTAGTCGCCCCCAATCCGAGACTTTGTCCAGCAAAGACTCGACTTCAGACACAAGTTTGTTCCGGTACTCGGTGACGTTTTCCCGAGAAATATTGGCACGGCCGGTGTATAGAGCATCACCAGTGCTGTCATCTGCATAGCAATGAATGCTACCAGCTTGCAACATATCATTGATATGCAGAAGAAACAGCGTTGGTGATAGCACGCAGCCTTGTGGAACACCAGCGTTAATAGGCTTGTAGTCGGAGCATGCACCGTCTACAACGACCTTTATGCTCCGATCTGCAAGAAAGCTGGTGATCCAATTGCATAATTTCTCGGGAAGCCCATAGGAAGGGAGCTTCGAAAGAAGCGCTTTGTGCCAAACCCGATCGAAGGCCTTCGCAATGTCCAAACTAACGGCCAATGCCTCCCCCTTGGACTCTACTGCCAACGCCCATCTATGAGTTAAGTAGACCAGAAGATCACCAGCTGATCGACCCCGACGAAAACCGTACTGGCGGTCACTAATCAGCTGGTGATCCTCAAGGTACCGCATGAGGTGGCAGTTTACAACGGATTCCATTATTTTGGAGAACAAGGGGGTGATGGCGATAGGCCTGTAGTTGGACGGATCTGAGCGGTCGCCTTTTTTAGGGATCGGGTGGACAAAAGCTGTCTTCCATGATTTCGGGACTACGCCTAGGGAGTAAGAGTACCGGAAAAGACGCGTTAGAACCGGTGCCAACTCCGGAGCACACGTCCTCAGCACAATTGGGGGGATTCCGTCAGGCCCACTCGACTTGTGGATGTCAAGGGAGAGGAGTGCTCTGCGAACCGAGCGCTGTGAGAATCGCACATCCGGCATGGAGCACTCACACCGCGGGATGGTCGGCGGTGTGTTCCCCCCGTCATCAACAGTCGAGTTGGACGCAAAAAGGGAGCCTAAAAGGTCGGCCTTCTCTTTTGCGTCGTGGGCCAGTGAGTCGTCCTCCCTGTGCAGAGATGGTAGTGATGGCTTACAGAAATTCCCTTGGACAGCCTTGGCGAGAGACCAGAATGCACGGGTTCCCGAAGGAAGGCGAACTAGTTTCTCGCCAATTCTGCCTATGTGCTCTGACTTTGCCTTGGCAATAACTCTTTTGAAGGACCTGGAGGCGAAGTTATACTTCTTTTTGAGTGTGCTGGTGTTTACATCCCGAGTCACCGAAGCCGCAGCCCAGGCTTGATAACACTCCTGCTTACTGCGTAATGCAGTCTTACAGGAGCGACCAAACCAAGGCTGAGATCTGCCTCCGATGGGTACCACAGATGATGGAATAAATAGTTCCATTCCCTGTAGCACTACATCAGTGACAGAGTCAGCAACAGCGCTGGGATCATCCGACGAGAAGCAAACCCGCCCCCATGGGTAGGAAGCAAAGAAAGACCGCATTCCGTCCCAATCCGCCGACCTGTAATGCCAAACACGGCGGCAACCTGCAGAACGCAACCGCGAGGGGAGCGTGAGTGGCACCACACTCCGGATCAGACAATGGTCCGAAGAGCCAAGAGGGGCATCGACGGAAACCTGATATCCGTCCGGATGAGAGGTCAGCAGAAGGTCCAACAGGGAAGGTGTATGATCCTCAACATCTGGAATCCGCGTAGGCGATGTAACCAGTTGTGTCAGACCATATGCCAAGGCAAAGTCATAAACAGATCTCCCCGCATGATCGGTTAAACGTGAACCGAGCCATTCGGCGTGGTGGGCGTTAAAATCGCCAAGGATCACGATCTCTGCGGATGGGACCTGTTGTAGCAAGAAATCTGTAGCCATTTGGACGTGGTCGATGAGTCGGTCTGTTTCGGCATTACCGCTATGGGACCTATAGAGGCACACGTAGACGCGCGGATGGTCGTCGCTGTCTACGCGTAGCCAAAGGATGGACAGGTCCGAACCTTCAAGACTGCCGAGGCGTCGAGAACAGATGTCCTCTCTGATATACACGCAAACTCCAGCCCGAGGCACAAAGGAGTGCTCCAATTTGTACCCCGGGCAGGAGAGATACGAAGTATCAGCCGGAGAGGACACCTGCGTCTCGGTCAGAAAGAGCAAGGCCGGCTTCGCCGTCTCAAGATGGTAGTGGACGGCGTTTAGGTTCGAGTGAAGTCCCCTGATGTTGCAGAAATTCACGGATAGCGTGGCAGGGGTCGCCTTGGTCTTGTTGCTCAGTTTGCCCCGAGCAGTTATTGTGTTGAGCGGAATTTTGCCCCCCCCCAGAATACGCGGGGCAGCCTGAGCACCCACGCTCAGGAGTGGAATAGCATGGTCGTGGATGCTCAGCGAGGGATTCTCCAGGGGTACTGGTACCCTCCTGGGGTAGTTTTAGTAGTAAAAAGGGTTATTATAGTATAAATGAATACATGGTTGATAATAACCCCTGGGAATGAGGTGGTCGCTTCCAAGCAGTATCTAAAATAAATTTTGTAATTAGTTCATAATCATTTATATTGTAAAATTTATTTAAAAAAAAAGTCCCGCTTGGTTTCTTGCTGGTTCTTCCCAGGACAGAGGGTTTTTTTTTTCGAACCAGTGGTAAAGTAAAAATGACTCAATAAGAATTACACATCATGTAATGTATATTGAACAAAAATTAAAAAAAAAGAGCTACTGCAGCACAAAGGAGCTTGTATAAGTTTATTATTACTGATAATTTTATACTAATTAGGCATTAAATCCAAGATTTACATAAGAAAACTACAGCCACATTCCAACAAAAACTTTCTTTTATTAGCAACAGTAAAAATTTACAAAATTGACACAGTCCACCTGATGCTATTGGAATACTATAGCCCATAGACACATCTATCCTCAATTAGAATCAAAATGCAGATGCGTTGTCACGCTTGAGGACTAAGATGAAATGCTTCATTTCCAGTAAAAGATCTCTGGTTCTCTACACTCACTACGCACAACATAGCAGCATTAAGCTACTATTCTACCTTGGTATTCTGTGGTAGTGTGGTCCTTCCTTGTTTGAGTCGATCCGTTCGTGCTACAACCATAATATAACTGTAGCGTGGTTCTACCATGTAAAGCTTTAGCCTGCATGCATGTATAGGTTAAAGTCTGTTAAATTAGTTATTTTTTATATATATTATTTTGTTTCAGTAATATCATGGGGTAATCCCAATGGCGAACCAATTCTACTTGTACATGGAAGGCAAGACAGTGTTGCCACCTTTATTCCCCTCCTGGAGCATTTACCAGACAATTATCATTATGTGGCTGTAGATATGCCCGGTAATGGGCTGTCTGATCCGTTGCCAGTAAGTAAGTATATGGAATTATTCTTATATTTACTTTGCCATGAGTCCATTAGTATGGTAAAAGGTCACTATTGAAAATGCCAAAATGATCACATTTCTTTGCGTAGAGGGCGGTATAACCATCTTGTTTACGATAAAATATCAAGACCAGTGATGAGGAGCAGTGTCAGAGGTATGAGACGTCGGGTACTGCGATTTTCAATATGCTAAACAAATATAATGATTAAGGCAAACCCTCCCTAAAGTGGTAGAGGTCCATGTTCAGGAATCGACTTTTAGGAACTGATGAAGCAGTAGAAATATAGGAAAGTTCCTTGTGCTTAGCCATATATGCATTTCAAATTCTGTATTGTAACCACCCCTATCACTGCATGGTGATAATGTAAATTCTCCCAACTAGAAATAAGCAAAGTACAACTATGAACAGTTTATATCGCACGCCTCATAACGCGAAGTGTTATTAGGTAGTGTTTTACCCTCGACTCGTCAAGGTCAAGCAAATTTGTGTTCTAAAAATGCCTCTATCATAACCATATTGCACTTATATGATAATATGAGTATCCGTATATCAAGAAAACACTTAATTAATCCATGTTATATTTTCTAAAAAATCATTTTATCATGCTACTTTTGAAAAAAAAAGGTTTGAAAATAGTTTATGTGGACATCCGGATGTTGATTTTGTATGTGGTCACGATAACTCCCAAAAAAATCGACTTATCGAGACCAAGTTTTTTTATTAGCTTTAGAATTACGTCACCTGATTCCCTATTTCATATCAATAGCCTAGTATGCATAGTTTGTTAATAAAATGATTTACAACTTTTATAAGTTTTATTGCTATTAAAAAGTTAAAGGCGCTTTTATATTATTTTTTTAGTTCTTGAAAGGCAAAGGACAAATGTATCATACAGCCTGTATAGATTTTATACCTTGTGTAATTGATTTATTCTGGTAAACATTATTATTTTTCCCCTGTATGTGACACCACATGTTAAATAATAGAGCGCTAAATTTAAAACACTTAATATATTTTAAAAATCAAGAATACAATTAATTTTTTTCATCAAAATTAAATCAAATCCTTATGAGGTGTTCACTATTGGATTTTCCAAACTACTTATTTAATACAACCATTAACAGAAGATAAATTAGAACATTAGGTAACTACATAATTTGTAATCCCATTAACATATGACATATTATATGACAATGAAGAGGAAAGAAAAAGAAAATTTATTAGACAATGCACTTAAAAGTATTAACTTTAATATTATTTCTAAATTTTAAAATGGTAATGTGAAGTGTAGTAATTTATTTTAAGAGATTTTTTTTGACGTTACAAGGTTTTTAGTGCTTCACTATTCACTTCATATGTATTTGTCCAGCATGAAGTAAGCGTCTGACATTCGGTGAACAAAAAATTTCTTTTTTTTAAATGGTTTTGCTTATTATCAGGAAATAAAAGATCTAAAGCTACACTACTAAGCACCTACATCTATCTTTAATTAAGAATCGAAATGCAACTAGAATGGAAAGCCTCATATCCAGTAATAAGGGCCTGAGGTTCTCTACGCTCACCATACAAAACACAGTAGCATTAAAATGCTTTTTAACACTGGTATTCTGTGAGGGCGTGGTCCTTCCCCAGCCAAGCCGACCAATTCATGCTACAAACGTAATATAGCTGCAGGGTGGCTCTACCGTGTAAAATTATTTAATTTATTTGGTTTTTTTTAAGTCAAAAGGATGCTGCCTATCTCTTTCATTCTCTGTTGCTTCTAACAACACCCTCGGAATGTTGTAAGACTGTCCACCATCCCTGCTAACACGTCTCGGCGACATATTATATACCACAGACAAGGCTTCTTGTGATATTTTCCTTAATCAGCACTTAAAATTACTTTCATCAGTGCTGGTAGGGTTCAAGGAAACATTTTTCATAGAATAAGGATGACGACCATGCACACAGTCCACCGATGCTGTGGCCCATAGACATCTACATCCATTAAGAATCAAAATGTAGTTTCATTGTCAACTCTGAGTGATATGTAATAACTCGTTTCCTGTAAAAAGGGAGTGTAGATTAACTCACCATACAAAATACACGACCATCCAACCACTCAGTTACCACAGCCCTTTTAATACTGAACTATTTTTTTTATTTAGGTGTGATGTTGACAAGATTTTTTCCAGTGGTGGTAATTGATATGGTGGTGGAACATTTGAATTGGGACAATTTTACGTTTATCGCACATTCTATGGGCACTGAGCAAGGTAATTACTGTCTAAAATGTTTATATTTTTCTAGAACTCCACTGTCACATAAGGAACACCCTCGAAAACATTATCCTTGCTTCTGGGACAGTCGGGTAAAAATATAGTCGAATTGAGCTCTTCCTTCTTTTATTAAACCCCAACGCAAACAGGGGGGTGTTATATGTTTAATGTGTATCGTATCTGTGTATCTGCGTGTCTGTCTGTGGCATGGCAGCTCCCAAACAAGTGAACCGATGCAGATTAAGTTTGTTTTTGTTTGAAAGGTGACTTGATCGAGAGTGTTCTTAGCTATGACTCAAGAAATTTATTTTCAGCCGTTTGAATGTCATTAGCTGTTTTTAGGGGTTTTTTAAAATTTCAATTTAATTTATAAAGTGTGCTAAAAACTAAATGAAATTTTCCAGGTCTCTTCTACAATGCAATCTACCCGGGTAAATTTAAGAAGTGTATATATTTAGACGGTGCCGTCGCTATTCGAAGACTGTTGATGAGGGATTTTTCAACTTACTACAAAACATTTTATTATAATTACTACAATAATTATAGCAGGTAATGGCAATTTTCTTTAAAATACATATACAGAATTTTGAAAAAAGAACACATAGATTTTGTTTTAGGGTTCACGAAAATCAAAAAGACTTGTGAATTCATGAAATTTTGCAGTTAGAGGTGAGGTGTATTTATTAGATTGTTGTGGATTAGGTATTCGATTTTTATTATTATAAGCATTAGGTATTTCGATGCTAATCTGCAGCAGGCGCTAGTCTTGATCGTTGACCTTGCTCGTTGCCTCGTTGTGTGCAATTTCGAGCAGACCAGTGCCCAAGTTGTTCACAAGTATGACACATGTGACAGCATTGCGTCATACTTCTGAACAAGTGCTACTTGGGGACTGGGCTGCTCGAATTTGCATCACATTTATGAGCTTTAATTTGGAATTTTTTTTTTGTTGTGCAATTTTATTAAGGAATATGTTTTTATTACTTAGGGTCTATTCCTTTTCATTTATTATTAAGAATATTGTAGCATTGAACTTTAAAAAGTGGTAACAAAAAGAGTGAGAGAGAGAGAGAGTAGAGATTTTTATATATTAGAGTTGTGATGCAACTATGTTATACTTTTAGCACGAATGGGTCTTGAGGCGTTGTCTGTTGATGTTGTTCTGGGTTGCTTAAGTTGGCTCTCGTACAAATAAGGTTGTTCTACCACCATATAGTGAAACTACTAGTACATTTGGTTAGATGACACCCACTTACCTCTTTCAAGCAGTGCCCGCACTGCTATATTCAAGTCTGAAGTGTATAAGGAACTAGTATATTACAGGTTATGAGAGCCGTGGTAGCTCGGGGACTAAGCGCTTGCTGGAAATTTCACAGTACGCGAGCAACCCGGGTTCGATCCCCGCCGGCACTGATGAAATTGTTAATTGTAATTTTAAGTGCTGATTTACCACGTGATTTTCCTTCACCACCGTGCGTGAAGGAAAACATAGTGACGTGTGTGCAGTTCGCCAACACGCATTGGGGACATTTCCCTGCCTATTACAGGCTACAAGGCATTCCATCTTAGTCCTCAGAGGTGACAACGTATCTGTACTTGCGCCACCACTTACTATCATGTAGATTCGTCGAGGTTCGTTTGTCACTTCTGTTTTTTATTATATTATTATTTCGCATGAGTGATTTCTGAATCTCCAAAACAGTACTACTCAAACACATACAAAAAATTTAATCAAAATTAGTTCAGCGGCTTATGTATACCAAAGCATTATATATAAAATAACATTTATACCAATAACCAATACCAGAGTAATAAGAAGCTTAACGCTACTACTGTGTTTCGTGTGGTGAGTGTAGAAAACCGGAGACCCTTTTTAGTGGAAATGAGGCGTTCCATCTCAGTCCTCAGGGGTGACAACGCATCTGCATATTATTTCTTAATCGAGGATAAATATAGATGTCTATGGGCCACAACATGCACTTACCATCAGGTGAACTGTGCTTGTTTGTCACCCTTATTCAATAAAAAAAACCTCCATAATACATCTATGTGGCAACTTTCACGGTGATCGGTCAAAATGTGTCGAAGTCTATTAATCACAAGTTCATCGTAGTTGTCAAGCATGGCAGACGGTTTGGCGACCGCAGTTTTTTATTTATATTGAGTTGTTAAAGTGAAAGCTCCAGGGTGGCCAGCGAAATTCAAAATTTCTTACGTTTTTTTGGAATTTGCAGATCAGGGTCAGGTTGAATATTTAACAAAATATGATTCGCGAGCGTAAAGATTATGTGTTTACTTTAATATTATGTATATATTTATTTAATATATATATATATATATATATATATATATATATTTATTTAATATATATATATATATATATATATATATATATATATATATATATATATATATATATATATATATAATTATTACCATTACAACGCTCTAAGGTCATATAATCCCTTTGAATGAGTTTTTCTGTAAATAGCCATACATACACATACTCGTTACGGTCGCGAATCATATTTTGTTAAACATACAACCTGATCCTGACCTGCAAATTGCAAAAAACTTAAGAAAATTTGAATTTCACGGGCCACCCTGGCGCTTTCACCTTAAAGGATAATAATACTGCCCATCTCCTGTTTTAGTTTCCCTACGTCGCCTCCTACGACACTCATGAAATGACATCGTGCAGTGGATTACTTTACAACGCCACTACATCCAATTAAATTATATTACATTATATACAGGGTTTTTCAAAGAGTAGTGAAATTTTAAACATAAGGTGAAATTAATAAATAATGATATACTGTTATTGCAGTTTTTGATAATACGAGTAAATAAGGCTTCTACTTTTATTTGAAATTATCCCAAATTTAATGTGATTTATGGGCAACAACGTTTTTGTCTACTGACCGGCCTTTACTAATGTGTGCGTGCGCAGTAAAATCACTTAAAAAATTGTATTACCACGCAGTCTGAATTTAAAAGATAAAAAGGACATAATGTTTTGAAGATTTTTTTTAAATAAATTTTTCTTCACCATTTTCCTATATGATATCTGAACCATCTCTGCAAATTTGGCCGGTTGTTGCAAAATAACCCTGTAGTTATATTCAAATATTCCAAATGTGACATTATAAAATATATGTCCATATATTTCAGTATTAATACAGACGACCGAGTATTCAGTAAAGACAAAGCCCTAAAAGCAGTAATGAAGGCCAGGAATCTTACCAAAGAACAAGCGGAAATCATTCTGTCTCGAAATCTGAAACGGCTTGATGAGGACCAATATCGGTAAGTTTATTAGATTTATTTCAAATTGTTACCTATAATTAAATTTTCTTGTAATAACTCTTTATATTGTTACGATAGTGAGGTGCGTGTTGTAGTTGTAGCAGAATACCAGCGTAAAATAAAAGCTTACATAACGATATGTATTAGCGGCTTATGTATACCAAAGCATTATATATAAAATAACATTTATACCAATAACCAATACCAGAGTAATAAGAAGCTTAACGCTACTGTGTTTCGTATAATGAGTGTAGAGAAATGGAGACCCCGTTTACTGGAAACGAGGCATTCCATCTCAGTGCCTAGGGGTGACAACGCATTTGCATTTTGATTCTTAATTGAGGATTGATGTAGATGTCTATGGGATACAGCATCCACTTACCATCAGGTGGACTGTGTGCTCGTTTGTCACCCTTATTCTATAAAAATAAAACGTTCCCATTGAAAGATTTGTATGGCCCAGATTGACCTAGAATGTTCTACATTCCTGTTGTTGGGTAGAAATAATAACTTTGGGAAGCGACTACGAGCAATGGAGCTTAGCGCTGAAGCTTGGCGATTTCGGACGACCTAATTGTATCTTTGCTGAGTGTTAGAATTCATCCATATCTCATGATATAATCAGCATTTTTACTCACCCCACCCGTAACAATATATTGTATTTACATTTTCGCACACCTCGAACGCGAAGTGAGAATTTTGACTTTACTGTCGACTTGACAAGGTCACGCTACCCGCCCTGCTTAAATGCACTATATTATTTTTAAGCCGCACTATTACGTGAAGAAAAGCACATCAGTATTAACAGGGAACACAAATGAATAAGACTGATGCTTTTATTTAAGCTTAAAAATACATATATGTATCAAAGCGTATTACCAGTGATGACATATGGATGTATGATATGGTCCATCGCCATCTAATTCTCCAAGTTTTTCGAAAAAATATAGTCTAGATCACTTCTGGTATTGCTATCGATCTGCTCGTCAAGTTTCATTACAATCGATTCAGCCATACAGACAGACAAAAAATTTTGCCTTGTATATGCATTAATAGCATGCAAATAACCCCCACCCCCAACCCCTTATTTATATGCATATATATAATTACTATATTACGACTATTAATAATATAACAATTGAATAAAGTTAAAATAATTTAAAGTTACAATATTTCTTTTCAGACTATCATGGGACAAAAGACAGAGGATTCTTGCACCAAGCTTCAATTCACTCGATTATTATTACGAATTATTTTCACAAAACGCTCCGCCCACCCTCCATATTCTGGCTAGCCAGTCCAACAAAGGCTATGCCGAAGGAAAGGAGTCTGTGAATAAATTGATGTCGGATCTAGAAACGAATGTGCCGAATATTCGTATTCTGACTGTGCACGGTGAACACGACGTACACTTTACTAACCCAGAAAGAGTAGCTAGGTTAATTATATCGTTTTTGGAAGAGGACAATGGGAAAAGGAAATCGAAGCTTTAATTAAAATATATTTATATAGACAGATTAAAAATAAAAAATTGTGTCCGCCAGCTCTGCCCCAATGCGTGTTGGCGAACTTCACATGTCTTCGAAATATTTTTTTTTCTTATTTATCAGACATGCGAGGTTTCTTCACGATGTTTTCCTTCACCGCCGAGCACGTGGTAAATCAACGGTTATATAATATTAATACCAGCTTTTACGCAAAATTTCGTCCGCGTAGAACTTAAACATAAAACATTAAACAATAAAACAGGAGCAACAATCCGCAAGCGATAAAGTTCCCGTCGAAATCTAACGAAAATATTAAAAGCTAGCTGTTCCCGCGTTTTCTTTATTAAATTTATTCATAGAAAGAGTGTTATATTATTTACATTTTAAATTTTAAACTGTAAGCCAGTTTGTCGGCAACGCAACAGTTTATCTTTTCACACTCCTTAATAACAATATAAGTTACTTATAAATACTTGAATTAACACATAAATAATTAAAGAAACATTCAGATACAACGACAGGTAATGTTTCCTCAAGATGGTTTTGATGGATGGTCTGCGACTTAGTTACGCTTTCGTTTTAAATACCCGCCACCTCATTACACAAGGTCGGATTTAGCCATTGCCTTGTACGTCGTCCAAAGTAATTTTCAACCCTAGGTATGAGATATTTCCTCCTTTGTGTAACTAGCCGCTTCGGCATTATATATGTCTTAGGTTTCTTAAATGTTATACCATACCATGCTGTTCTAATATAATTATTATTGTTATTTGGGGTTTTAATTTTTTTGCGCAGAACCCTAATTCTTTTACTAAAATAAAAGTAGCCCAAGTTACTCCTTGTGACACCAGCTATCTGCCAGTGAAAATCCCGCTAAAATCGGTCCAGCCGTTTCGGAAATTAGCCGGAACAAACAGACAGACATACAAAAAATTTAAATATGTATTTTTTTATCAGTACCGTATAAACTTTCATATGCATTTAATAAAAAGCTGTAATTTTGACATTACAAACAGACACTTCAATTTTATTTATTTGTATAGACGTATAGACGATATTTGACGATCGAATGTTTTTTTTTAAATAAATTTTATTTTATTTAACAATTTATTATGAAAACACTTAATAATAAATAATTTTGTGCAAAATGACACCACCACACCAACTACAAAAATTACTTTATGGAAGAACAAACAACTCTCCCGTCGTCAAAGTTTCGATTTGACATCTTCCAGCAGAAATTTTGAAATATCTTCAGCCATACAGCCGGGATCATTCAAATGAACGTCATGTCCACCCGGAACGATTTTAAACTTGAAATTCTCATTTGGCCAAGCTGTCTCGTCGGTGAGGAAAGGCACGTCTTTGTATGCGCCCAATTGAACCATGTCATTGGCCAATATTGCGAATGTTGGCGTCTTAGATTCGGTGTATATTTTCTTAAGGAGGTCGCTAGGAAACGGTAGCAGAGTGACGTTCTTCATGCGCTGGTCGTATGTAAACCTGAAAGTAATTTTTTTTTCTCAAAACTCAAGTTACAAAACAAACTTACAGTCCATCGTGTCTGCTGTAATCTATTAACACCTACAACCTACTTCAAACGAAGAAGACAACAGTGTTTTGGCGGGAACTTGATCGGCGGCTGGTATTATTATTTAAGTAATGGTTTGAAGAAAATTTGGATTCGTAAACGAGGTGCTATTTCGTACATTAAATGTCTGCGCATATAAACTTTTAGTGGAAGCGATGAAACATGTGTTCCGATGGTGATGTGAACATCAATATAACGTGTCTGCTTAAAGCACCCAAAATTTCACAATGTGGCGCATCAACACATTGCGAAGAAGTTTTAAAACTAAAACAAATTATTAATATTAATAATTTTATTTAACTTTAATTAACAAATTATTTAAATAGAGCCATGCTACAGCTATATTAAGGTTTGTAGCAACAATGGATCGGCTCAATCGGGGTAGGGCCACGCTGTCACAGAATGCCATGCTGCTGCGTTTCGTAACAGAAACAGAAACTTTTTTATTCAATATAGATTATAAAATAAATAATACTTATTGAAAGTCACTCTTTTATTTAATTACCACTGGTTCGTAAAAAAACCTATGTGCATGAAAAAACCGTGTGTATAAAAACCTAAAGGCGTATAGTGAGTGTAGAGAACTTGACCCTTTTTAATGGAAACGAGGCATTCCATCTTATCTTAGTCCTCAGGGGTGACAACACATTTGCATTTTGATTCTTAGTATGATACTCTCAAATAAGTGTAGATATCTATGAGGCATAGCATCCACTTATCTATATGGAGTGTGTGCTCGTTGGTCACCTTTATTCTATAAAAAAAAAACGTAGTGTCACTAACATCACATGCAGAGACACACAATCATTTTAAAAACAATAACGGGCCCAATACAACAACTTTTAAACGGATAGTGAATAGGTTCATACCTGTACAGTCCGTCCCCAGCTGGCTCGATCATTCTCTCTAATTGGTGTTTCAAAGCTTCCTCAGTTAACCCTTGCACCTTTTGTACCAGCTCCTTAATCTAAAACAAAGATTGAATGAAAATTAAGTTTTCTTCCCCGCACGACTTCTTTGTGGAATCGTTTGCCATCGGCGATTTTTCCGGAGTGATACGACTCAAGGACCTTTAAGAAACGAACTTACTTCTTTTTGAAAGGCCGGTAACGCACAAGCGATTCCACTGGTGTTGTAGTTGTTCGTGGGTGGCGGTCGACACTGTCCATTAGGTTGGGCTGCATGCTCGTTTGCCCGCACTTCTATAAATAAAGGTTTAAACTCCTGGCACGGCATCCAACCACCTCGGCCTCGGATTGTCCGCACGTCGCGCCCCCCTTGCTTTCCTTGCATGGAACTTTGAAATCACTACAACATCTTAAGTCTATGTCTAATTTGTCTATTAAAAATAACCATAACCACCCGGTTCCCTACACATACTCCTTTGTTGGTACCCGCGCGTTCCTGCCGTAGAAGAAATACTTTTGGAAATATCGTTTTGAATTTCGAAGAGTTATGTATATTTATTAGTTACGATACATGCGCCACCTACTGTAAGTTAATTGTACTATGCTTATAACCTTCGCGTTCGCGCAAGTGCCAGCAATAAGTTTTACCGCAATCTGATGAACGGTATGGCAGCGCACACAGCGAAAAGCGAAAAAAAAAATTTTTTTTTCACATTATTTTCTTTGCCACTGAGGCGCCTCCTAGGTAAAGGCGTATTAAATGTCGATAGCGCCTTAGGCTTGCACAACATCGGCGCCCCTTTAGCGGCCATAAGTTATTATAAATTAGAACTAGTTATTTTGAAAATTAAGCTTTATTATAATTTTTGCCTTGGACGGAGAAAGGAGGATCCCCCGCTGGGCTGAAAACCTTCGGCCCGGAGAGTGGCCAACGCTCCGTCAGGTACAAGTTGCGGTACGTAAGTCTAGCGCTGTATGAAACTTGGAGGGAACGCGCACGAATTGAATTACACGAATGCAACTGGATAGCTAATCAGAGCGTACGAACGATTCGCACGAACCAATCAGCGCGTCCTATGCACAATAAGCCAATTTGCGCGACTTATTTGCAATAATGGTGACCGCTAGACTTTCGTGCCGCTACTTATACTCGGTATCTATATTATTCAGTGATGTTAGTGCTGTTAGTTTTTTTGGTTTTGACACCTTCATCTGCTGCTGATTCAGGGCTCGCGATAAGATCGCAGTCCGAGTGGGGAAGTACAGACCCACGTCTCTGATTGTTAATCGATGTTCTGGGCGGTGCGACCTGCCCAGGTACGTGTCCAGTACGGCGTGTACGCGGAGTGCTCGGGATTGCGTCGTGCCTGCCTACGTGTGCAACGCGTCCCGTCCGTTGTCCTATTTGTGTTTGACACATTGGTTGTACCTACTTATTGTGTAGTGTCGTTATGTGACGTACCTGCAATGTTTGGGTTGTCGGAATGGAGTGAAATTGGTGGTTTGGTAAGAACGATACGGGATTTACGGAACCGGGTGCAACGTTTGCGATTGGAATGTTGTTGGCTGCGTTTGCCACTAGCGGTTTAGGATAGGTTTCGGCGCTATCAAAGTAGTGCTGAGACACAGTTCCTTGAAGTATTCGCAGAGGAAATTCACATTTGCTCCAGTCGCTTTGCGGATGAAGTTATTTTAAAATGTTTGGAGCTCGTTTAAGTCAATACTATACGTGGGAACGAAGGCTACACTTGCATGAGTTCGGAGAGAAAATTCACAGTCTGTGTAAACTGAAATTTCGTTGTTACTACCAAAGCTCCAGTGGTTTTGCGGATGAAGTTATTTTAAAATATGAGCTCGTATAGGTGAGTACTAAGTATACATGGGAGTGCAGGCTACACTTGCCTGAGACATGATAGGTCTAATACAAGCTTTGTAAACGTGATGTTTGTGTTTTAACGACAGTTTGCTCGAGCTGTTGACATGAGGATGGAGACGGAGACCACACAGAGTGTGGTAGAACAGAGCAATTGCCGGAGTACTTCGGAACTTTATTAGCTTGATTTAGACATCCGTGAGTTTCGTTTGTGGCGCAACCACAGCGCCGCCACTTGATTTATAACATAGTTTATTTGCAAACTAATTAGGTGCACAGTAACAGTTGAGCGTGAATGAAAAATGTGATGAGAATGAAGAAAGCAAGAGAAATAGAATGTGGAATTTCCCATTTGGTTGGAAGTTCGATTTATATTTAATATATAAAACAATAATGCTACGAATAAAATTATTTATTTAAAATAGTTTTATTCACAGCATTTGTAAGAGCGACAAAGGGAAACTGAAACAGGAGATGGATAGTAGCATCTTCATCAAAAACTGCGCTTGCCAACTCTCCTGGCAAGCGTAGCAACTATAGCAAATATCTGATGGCAAAAATAATTCCCTTAATTGAGGAGGAAGAGTTTTAATTGCAAACACGTTGTCACCTCTGAGAATTAAGATGGAATACC